CCCCTCAGTTACGCCAAATAAAATGGCCTCTGTCTATATGCGTATTGTGCACGTAGAATCGATAGTGACAGAATTTACAGCTACAGTTACACCGAACACCAAACTGAACTCGTGTAATTCGAAGGTAACGTGCTAAATAATTAAATCAACTGCATTGAAGAGAAGTGCGTTGCAAAAACTGCTCTGGATTTTCAACGGTTGAAAAGGTGGAGGCTTTTTTTAAAAGTTTATACCGAGAACAACACCCCATGCACTGTTCAAGATCAGGAGAGACGATTTAAGGATCTAAATGAGATTAATGTTTCAGTGACTTGCAAGGTCGCGTAGATTCTAATGCTTTTGGTTCTAAGAAAAGTCACATTTTTTAATTATAAGTGGTTGAATTCAGAATAACGAGATGAGAGGTTTATTATAAAACTACCTGATCACGTAACGTAAATACATGAATACCCATTTGAAGAGGTCAAGTGAAAAGCAGGATAAGTCCACACAAAAATCAGGGTGCTTGCATGATTTTTACCATAGTACTTCCTATGCAACTATAGTAACACCAGTGTCAAACGCCAGTGAATCTTAATAAAGAGTTGATTTGCAGTCTTACCTTTTGCTTTAAAAAAGTTTCGTTAATGTGTCTTAACAGTAAATCCCTTGGCCGTTCTGTCAGTTCTTCGATACCATTCCAGTTGTCCTCTAAACAGCGAAATATTCTTCTTGCTTTTTTGGCGCATATTGTAATCGTTCTAAAGAAATTTCGTCTGCTTACCACCTTGTACACGTTTGCGGCATTAATAGCCAAGGTATTTATTTCCTAAGGACACACAGCCTTGGCAACTGACGACAGGCCAGGAATCGAACCATTTTCCTTGCTAGTTCAATCTCTTGAATATTTGGCCGCCCTCCGACAACGTATCAAAAGACCTTCTCCATTCCACATACACTCGTCAATCTCTCTCATGTTCCAACACTTAAAAATCAAGACTCGACATCATCAAAGATCAAATTGTAAAGAATTTATTACAGATCGCATGGGCGTAGAATATGATGCGAAAAAAAAGATGTATTAAAGTTGTTCAATAGACTGAAACAATCAATGTACATCAACGCTGGTATTGTAAGCAGAAATATACAATTTACAAGTATATTAAATGTGTGTGAAGAGAAAGAAAAGTAAATAATGTTATGTACAGGACACATTTCAAACAAAAAATTCTTTTACAACTCCAGTTAAGAGCACTGGCATAATATTACGTCTCTGATCTTTCATTTAGTTTTTGTTGAAATTTCATTGCGCCTCCAGACACTATGAACGCACTCTCTAGGGTGGAGACCGAGGATCTCTTCGAGGAGAAAAAAAAACAGACTGAAGCTGGATTCGTACCACAGAACCCCACTTTTAACTGTACTGATTCACAGTGAGAGGCACTGTTGTCTTTGTATCTCTTGCGCAAAACTGTCTTTCATTCAGTTTTCTGTTATTTCAGCCTACTGCTGCCGCTTTGTCCTTCTCCTGTTTCACCTCCATAACCACCACCACCTCCTCCTCCTCCTTCTCTTCCTTTTGCCTTTCCTCTATTTTGTCGTCGTCTTCCTTCCCCCTTCCTCCTCCTCCTCCTCCTCCTCCTCCTCCTCCTCCTCCTCCTCTCTTCCTTTTCTCCTCGTCCGCCTTCTTCTCTTTCGTGCCTCATCCACATGTACTTCATATAAGATCCTTTCCCCCCAATTCCCCCCGAGGGTGTCTTTTCAGTACACTTCTATTATTTCTCGTGTTTCCTTTTCATCCGAAAGGCTTTTTGTCCCTTTTCATCTTGAATACAGGTCTCGTTCACATCACAACATGACCATCATTCTTCAGCAATGAAGTAAGCGAGACTATACAATATTGCAGTAGTATCTTTCCCGGAAAATATGTGATGCAATCAACGAACTGACCAGATGGAATCACACACTGAAGACTGACTAACGTTTCTTTGAGCACCTGTGTAGCCACTGCCTCTGTATCCGCCTCTTTGTTTCTTTCATTTCCCCTATTCGTGTATCCGTTGTGTTTCAGCTTTTAGTAGTGTCATTACCTCCTCCCCCCAGAAAAAAACAGCTTCAACATTGCAAGACTTTTCTACCAGTGTAACTTTGTTGCTTGCGGGTGATTAATTTTTTTATTCCATATCTTTAAGAACAATCAGTTCTTTTTCTTCTGTTTATTAATCCTAAATAACCATGGTTAACATTCAGAACGTTGAATTGGTATCATTTGATAAACAGAAGAAAAAAATGGAGTATTGTTCACAAAAATCAGAAGGGCAAAAGTTAACCAAGTCTTAATTAAGAGTAGAAAATTCAAAAGAGTGATTTGTCGTTTGCATTCTTTCATCCAAGACGTCCTAAGAAAAATTACCTGTCTATCAGAAGAAAAAGTGGAAAGAACGAGCACGCACGCATGCGCACATACAAACATGCGAGCGCAAACACAGGTACAAACAGAAAGAAAAGATGAGAGAGCGGGAGAGAGAGAGGGTATGAGAGAGAGAGAGAGAGAGAGAGAGAGAGAGACAGAGACAGAGAGAGAGAGAGAGAGAGAGAGAGTGGGGGGGGGGGGAGTCAAGAAGTAGACAGACACATAATAAAAATGTAAGCATATAAAATAAAAGTCAGACGTACATAGATATAAAAGATCTATAAATAATACAGACAGTCAAAAAAACTCTGGCAGACCCACAGGCAAACGTACGGCAATTCTTGTTGAAAGAGAGTCGTCAATAATGTAGGACGTGTGTATTAAACTCGAGTCTGCCGGCACAGACAATCCCGCAGGTGTTACACTGCCATGGGTTGTTGACGTTGTGTAGCCCCATGTGCAGGTGGAACAATGTCACGTCGAGGAACAGGATCTCACAGTGGGGGCAGTAACGGGCCTCGTTCGTCCTGGAGGGAGATGCCCGCGTGACGTCGCGAGGAGTCCCTGACCCATGACCCCGTTCGTCAATGACGTCACCGTCTAGGACAGATCGGGCTGTTCCCCCTGGTGGCGTGCTTCCCGGTGTGGTTGTTGTAGTCGTGATGGTGGTGGTGGTGGGGTAGCCAGATACAGCGGCGAGGGAGGAGGAGGATAAGGAGGAAGGTGGGGTGGAGGAGGGGAAATATTTCGAACCGTTGCTCGATCGGTGGACGAGGTCCGAATTACTCGAGGCGAGCGACTCCATAGCGCCGTTGGGGTGGGAGAAACTTCGTCTTCTTGATGCACTGTAACTATCAAAAGATTCTTCATTAGAATACACATCAGTTCCGTTTTGATGAGAAAGTTCCGACTGTGGTCTATCTCTGGCGCTGTAGGAGAAGGGGTTCTGGACGTGAGAGTGAGAGGAGTTGGTGATGCTCTTGCGAGAGGCAAAACTGAAGTCCAAAGCTGGCACAGAAGCGTCGCGGGAGTGGTCATCCACCGATATGAGATTCCTGGTCAGATCTGATTCATTCATCGCTTCGTCCGGTTCTAAAGGGACGAGTACAGCCTCATTGGACATGATAGCATCTAGATAGGGGGAGCCACGAGTTTTGGGAACTTTGGCTGTTTCCTCCTTATCTCTATCTGCAGCACTGGCATTTTCCGCAGAGGACGAAAAGCCATCAGAAGTTTCGTCCGAATCCTGGGGTCCAGACGCAGACGAGACGTGGTTGTCACACACTTTGGCGTTTTTGTCACCGTTTTGGGGGTCCAAGGCTACAGCCTGATAGCTACGAGAGAGGTCAGCGTAAAAGTCTCGATCGTACCTCGCTTGCTTCCTGCTACTTGGCTGCAGTGACCATTGCCAACTGTCAAAAACATGATCGCTAATGGACGAGGAAGCGTACCTCTTCCTGTAGTCCGTCCCAAATAAATGTCTGTTCTCAATACTCAGAGATTTCGATTTCCCCCCAGAACTGTTGGCAAAAAGAGATTTTCTAGGGTCACTGTAAGAAGCATTGGCAAATTTGATTGCGTCATCAGCAGACAACGGTCTTGACTGCGCTGTCGAGGTTACTGACATGTCTTCAGAGACACTTTTCGGTCGAGGTGACGTCTTGGACGACGCAGAAGCAGAGAATTTCCCCGCTTTACTAGCAGACGCCCTTAGAGATGACTCAATTGCCATACGCTTGAGCTCGGCCACCCTCTCCGCTGTCAGCTGGCGGTCCCCAGATTGGGAACCGTCCCTCCTCTTCCCCACCTCGGATCTGCTGGCAGCCGTCGAGTCTTGGGAGTTATTCGGAGACCCGGATGCAGTGCGTCGTCTCTCAGTGTCTGGGTGCGGGATGGATGTGGCAGCGGCTGCAGCTGCAGCTTTCCAGGCCACGGCGTCTTTACAGTCCCCCTCGTCCCCTCTCGTGTGGAACATCATGTGCATGGCTAAGGCGTCCTTGTTACTGAAGAGTTCCCCACAAACGCTGCAACTCAACTGCTCCATCATTGCCGCCAGAGATCCCGTCGAACTGGACGCTCTGTACAAATTGAAGAAAAAATAGATTTAGTTGTATAGTAATAATAATAATAATAATAATAATAATAATAATAATAATAATAATAATAATAATAATAATACATGTAATAATGATGATGATGATGATGATGATGATGATGATGATGATGATGATGATGATGATGATGATGATGGTAGTAGTAGTAGTAGTACAAAGCCTAGTACTAACACTAAATATAATAATGAAAATAATAATAATAATAACAATAATAGCAATAATAGCATATTTTGTATAGCGCAAAACATCCCCGCTCAACAGAGAGCCCTGTGCGCTTTGCAGAAAAACCTATAGATCTCAACATGTAGTGATGAATTGCAGTGGGATTCATTATAATTTTGACGCAGAGTCTTTCGTTTTAAAGGTGATTTAAAAAAAAAAAAAACTTAAGTAATACACGTATTAATGAAAGTGACAATGACAATCTTTATTCATCTCGTAGGGAGAAATTTGTCTTGGTCGTTAACAATGGCAGTAGACGTTACAAAAGTTAGACCTAAAAGTGCACTCACGCACACGCACTACAAGACAGGACATTAGGCCTAGTAAATACATGTCTCACGTGCTGAGATAACCCGCTCCGTAAAACACTTCTCTCACTCTGTTTCATTTGTAGCACTGTGTGTTCAGTAACCTCACTGCAGTTGGAACGAATGAATTTTTATATATGTCTGTTCTTGCTTTTTTGGAAATGTATCGTTTACTGTGGGTCGATAGTTGAAATTCCTATGTCAGTGGGTGCCTATGGTCACTAAGCATTATTTCCGCCTTTTTCAGAACGTTTGCGTCATGTAGATATTCATAGTTACTTACGTCTCTACCAATTGTTCTTGATGCCTTTCTTATCAACTTGTTTATTTTTATAATGTGCAGCCTTCCCAAACTGCTACCATAGCAAGTGATACCAAAGTGTACACACAACATTTCTAGGATATTTTCTTATATAAAAATCTTTGTATTTTTTCAACTTCTGTGTCCATTTTTACGTTAATATTCAGCAGCACAACAGAATTAGCTAACTTACCAATGTAACATGTCAACCATCTTGACCAGTTTATCTTTCTTGAATAAATTATGCACTCTCAACTTGAGTTCTCCATTTTTCTCTATTCTATTCAAACTTCAAACTCCGTATGTCACGTTCAAAAACATAATAACTCACTAATCACACTTATCTTTATGTACTGCTTACGATTTTACTATCAATAACTGTTTCCGTATAAACACGTGGTTTTAATTACAAATGGCACCTAACTTGCTGCAAACTTTTAGCCAAGCTCTTTTTACAAGAGACAACTCACCTCAGTCCGTATTCAGCCAAGAGTCTGCGATAGTGGCGAGGATCTAGATACATGCCGTAAGTGTCTAAGGAGAAAAGGCTGCCAAAGCTGGGTGAGACATCAGGCGAAGTCCCCACCGTTCTCTCTTTAGTTGAGGTCGTCGGACGGGTCAGAGCTGATAACGACTCTGACAGTGCCGAGGTTTTAGGGAGGATGCTTGCTGCAGCAGCTGCCTTAGATATAGCTGTGGCCTGGTTTCTGAGTGCGGATAGCATTGCCTGTTGACGGAGCTCTCTCTCAAATTTCTCTCTTGGCGTTGGATTTTCTGGATTCGACGATATAGCGGAGGTTGGTAAAGCAACGCAAGACTCGTTTTTGGCGCGTAGTAGCATATGCATCGCATAGGTGTCTCTACTAGAAAATACAATGTCACATCCGTCACAGCGAAAAGAGTTCTTGTCCGCGTCAAAATTCGGGAACCCAAACCGTCGAATATCAAAGCTGTCTCCTGCTGAACTCTTCAGGAGATCTTGGGGGGAAAGCGATGACGAGGACGGGTGCCCATACTCTGCTGACGTCACAAGAGGGCTGGAATTGAAGTTGATGAAGTTGGGGTTTGTCTTCATGGAGTAGCCTCCACCTGGAGGACGGCCTCTTCTGCTGACATACCTCACAGGACCCGGGTTTGAAACTGGCAAAGTGGTCGCTTCGCTTGTGCTGTTGTTATTTGATTGGATGCTGCTTCCACTGCAGTTCTCTTCCTCTCCGTTGTTAGCGTCTGCGTCTGCTGGCTCTTTTTTCACAACTACATTTGAATCCATAATGACCTGCGGAAGTACGAAAACAGTTATGGATTTCAATGACTATAACACAGACATGCTCTCGGTGAGAATTCTATTGGAGCTTTAGGTTTCCAAACACATGAACAAAAGAACAAAAGAGTAGTTCATGTTTGCTTGTTTTTGGTTGGGCTGGAGGTGGGGGGAGAGGGTGTTCATTATTGATACTGGTACCCTGAAAAGGTTTGCTAAATTGATATACATGCAATATTGTCAGTTTGAAAAAAAAACAAAGAATAAATGGGAAGCCTTTTTAGACCTTAAATATCCTTCAATAACTGTTGTACGCCGGAAGACAACGAATAGAGTGATTAAGTCCCTTTACGAGAATAGGGCCACAACAGCTAACTTCAAAGTCCTAGGACATGAGATTCTGTGGAATAAGAGCGAGAGGAATGCCTAGGGAAAACTGGACTGACGGCGTGAAATCTCCAAAAGGAACAACACGAAGATCGGAAAGGCAACATTAAAGTCCCGACCCATGGCCGATAATAATAGTTGTATGGTATCATGGTGAAATCAGGCGCCCGTCAAAATAATGAAATCGTTGCTAAAAGACACCAGACCATGTGAATAATTAGATTGTGGGGTTTTTTTCAATAACATTCAAGCTTTGGAAGTAATCAAACTTAGCAGTTCTTTTCTCACTGATTTTTCTCTGACTTTATGTGACCCCCTTTTCTTTCCATCGCAAATATCTCCACTTCTGTTCAATATACCTGGGTATTATTTTCATCAAAAGCAAGACAAATGTATAAACTTCAAAATTATAACAATAACCAATATGTCAAAAAATTGACGAGTGGATGATTCCACTGCGTTGCGACACAATTGCTCGACTTATACAATACTTGTAACTGTAATGCTGAGCCACTATTAGCTTGAAGCCATGCGGACTGTACTCAGTATGGTTTGAGTACATTTTTGAGACATTTATAAGGACTGATCATTGACTCACTGTAGCAATGTTAGATAAAGGCAAGGCACTACGTACAAAAGTCAATTAATGTCTTCCTAATTCCAACATTCAGGGAAAGTGTAAAAGCCAAATTCCCTTGTCCAAATAATATTTATCACGGCTCTGCAAACTTTTTGAATGGGAATGGAATCGTCTTATATCATATTATTATGCTAAAGAAATATTATGTGTTTACACTCTGTCTGTCTGTCTGTCTGTCTGTCTGTCTGTCTGTCTGTCTGTCTGTCTGACTGCCTGTCTGTCTGCCTTTTTATTATTTATCATTTTGTTATCTTATATGCCAGTCTATCGATCTCCTCTAGTTTTGAACAACTGAGATCGGTTATTTCAGAGAGGGCACCTTGCTTTACACAGAGCCTTTATTTGGAATGCCTCGGATATATACATTAAAAATCCTATTAATTCGAACCTGATGCCCCATATTACTTAGGGATTGAAGATGAACCATTCTACCCCCCCCCCCCCCCCCCACACACACACACACACACTCAGCACCAGCCGAAAAAAACCGAAACGAAATAACCTTTTCACTACAGCCATCTATGTCTTTTCGTGAAACTAGTGTCATATTCCCATATTATATTATGAGCACGTACAGAGAGTGCTAAGCAACATAATATCATGTAGATGTATTTACATTGTTCCATTTCTTTCTGTTTCGCCACAGGTGACCACCGAATAAACAGTAGAGAAATAAATGTACCTTCTTTATAAATTCAATGAATTCCAATATTGGGTTTAATGATTCATGTGGTTCTCCTTGCTGTATATTTCAACAGTATAGAATGGCTAACGTCTTGCAAAGGATCTTGAATGCGTTTGACAGCTGCCTACATCATAACTTATAGAGAGAATTTCTGAACAGATTAGGAATTTTCAGGTCCAAGCGTCTGGTTTTCCTGAATTTATAATACCGCACTCCAGCTTTCAGTAGTACTGTTTTTATGCTCAAGTCTTTAACCAGGAACCAGCAAATTCATACTGGGACAAAAATGATAATATCATTATGACTACTCTGTCCCCTAAGACGGCGCGGGTTTCTTTCTTACCAAGAGACATCTCGAAGTCTCTTTGGCTTGAGCACATGCAAACCAATGCTAAACGGGCGATGTGAATGAGATTCTTGGCGTTGAATGCTTGGTTGATTGAAAACTGGCATACGATGGCGACCGCAACTTGAATAACTGTCATCAATAAGTAAGCTAGCATCAACGCTTTTGCATATTTGATGCCGTCTCCATTGGAGATTCTCTTTGTCTGAGAGGTCTCGCCTGAAGAGATGCTAAATATTGAATGCTATATACGAGTCGGCTTCCCCTTCATGGACACAAGCTCTTCTATTATTCATCGATGACAAATTAAGATTTTAAGTGCTCTGATGTCACAACAACTGCGAGTTGCTTGGGTCGATTTTTCTAGAACCCCCACCCCCACCCTTCCCCGAGTAAACACACACACACACACACAC